GGCCGGCGGCGGGGCCGGATGGCTCTGTGCGGGCAGGCGGCGGGCGCCGCGTCGCTGCCCAGCGAGCTGATCGTGCACATCTTCTCCTTCCTGCCCGCGCCCGACCGGCTGCGGGCCTCGGCCTCCTGCTCGCACTGGCGCGAGTGCCTGTTCTACCCGGCGCTGTGGCCCCAGCTCCGCATTTGCCTGCGCGTCGCGCCCGCGGAGCAGCCCCGGCTCGAGTTCCTCATGCGCAAGTGCGGCTGGTTCGTGCGAGAGTTGCGCGTTGAGTTCGCCGCCGAAAATTACCTGAGCGGAGGCGGCGGCCCGGGCGGCGGAGGCGGCGCGGACGCGGGCACCGGCGGGGAGGAGGTCGAGGCCATGCAGCTCTCCTCCCGCTGGCTGGAAGTGCTGCGCACCTACTTGGAGCTCGTGCTGTGCGTGCTGGTCAGCATCCGGAACAACAGGTAGGCTGCGGGGCGCCGCCGCTCCGGGCGCCCCTTCCTCCCCTCTCCCGAAATAGACTCCGTGGGACGCGCCGGCCCGCCGCGGCGACGCGGGCGTCGGTTTCCTTGCGGCGGAGGGCCGGCGGGGCTCGGCGGAGGGCCCGGGCTTTGGGGACGCCGCCCCCGGCGCCCTGCAGCCCCTGCCGCGCTCGTCCTCTCCGTGGCCGTGGGGCGAGGCTGGTGTATTCACGGAGAGTGGGGGCTTGGGGAGTGAGGCCCGTGGGACAGTGCGCCGTGACCTGTGTGCGCGGACTCTGCATCTGACCCGCAGGAGTGCAGACTTCGGGTGGGGGCAAGGAGCAGGTACACTGCTGGTGTCCCGCAGGTCCAAGAGTCTAGCGAAAAGAAATCTTTAAGAGCCATTCTCAACCCGGAATAGTTTTTGGGTAACTCTTGGACCAGGCCCAAAGAGTAGGAGGAGTGTTTGTTAGAGATACTGGGGGAAGAGATTGATGGTCAGGGCTGGAAGTCCCTCCCTGTGCACCTCCACGCTGAACCTTCCGCGGCGATTGAACTAATACCCGGCAGCCTGGGGATGGGGCCAGGGGAGCTGGCTGCAGGGGTAAACACATCCTGGTCCTGGTTTTGCAGTTTTGACTGTGGAGCTAACTTCCCACGTTCCCATTTGGTATCCTAATCAACATTTTATTTCTCTGTCGTCCTCCTAAAATTCTATTAATTTGTATTTTGCATATCGGGATATTCTGACATTGTAATGAAGCTAATAAGTTGGAAGAAAGTTGAGAAATAGAAAGAGACCCATAGATAATACAATGGCTAGCCGTTTATAAGTATTTTCATATTCTTTTCTTTTCCAATTAGATTTTATTGGTACATTTTAGGTGTACGTAATGATCACATTCATCGTAGAGAATTTGTACCTGTACATGATATAACTTATTTTTTCCCATCCCCTACCCTCCCTTCAAGGCCTCTTCTCCTCCCTACTTACCAAAGCTTTGTTTCCATTTTTTCCCCCCTTTTTTTTTTTACTTTTCATTTTCCCCTTCCTTGTTCCCCTCCGTTTGATGAAAGTTTTCTTCCTGTTTACATTTATTTTTTATTTGAGCCTCTCAGTAACCCTGTGAGTCAGTCAGAGCAGTGGTTATTATCCCATTTTATAGAAAGGAGACTGATGTTTAATAAAGTCAAGTGATGTCTGTATCTCCATAATTTTTTGTCTGAATCACAAGGTCAGGAGATAAGCATTATAGCTGCAAGTTGTATTTGTAGCTATCTCCATTATTTCAGTGGCCTCTTTCCCCAGCTTTTCACACCCAGCCCCTTCATTTCCTTAAGCTTAGAAATAGATTCTGGCAGCCGGGCGTAGTGCCGCACGCCTGTAATCCCAGCACTTGGGAGGCTGAGGCACGAGGATTGTTGCGAGTTCGAGGCCAGCCTGGGCTACAAAGTGAGTTCAAGTTCAGCCAGAACTGCATAAGGAGACCCTGTCTCAAAAAGACAAGACAAAAAAATAAATAAATAAATAAATTCTGGTCAGGAGAACGGAGACATTTTGTTACTCTCCGGTTTATGGCTAGTGGACCAACTGCCCCAGAAGGAGGAAAGACGAGTCAGGGAGAGCATTTACTGCTGAGACTTAAGACTCGGTGTGAGTCCTTGAGTATCAGTTAGATTTTCCTCTTCTGAAATCGGATAGCCCTTCTGTGCAACCATCCATAAAACTGCATGTCTCTGGCCCAAGTAAAAACAAACCTGTTCAGTGCCCGGTTCCTTTTAGGTATTGTAATAACCATTTGGATGGATGGGTGGATAACATCATGCATGCCTAACCGTGGTATAGCACGCCTTCCTTTGTTGTTTAATTCTCCCCTCCACTTCCACAACCCTGCCGCTTGATTGGCGTTCCAGGCTGTCTGTAAGAGCACCTTTAACCTGGCTTTCTGAGTCAGTTACACTTCTGTACAAATACAGTGTTGTCACCCTGATTTGGAAGTTTTCTTCCCATCTGCCCTAGAGATGGAGCTGCGTGTTGTGCCGGTTTGGCTGCACATTCATTCTCTATGTCTGAAGTTAAAGTGTGGTACGATTGCACGTATTATTTCTACCGAGAATATTTCCAGTGGTTTTTCTCAAATGTTATGTTTCTGTGTTTGAAAATAAGTCAACTTCATTTTTGAAAATGTCTTTAGAATCTCTGATAATATGTGAAATATTAATACAAATCTTAAAAATATACATGACTAGTTTGCCCTGTGTTTTAGCAAATTTGAAAGTATAATAACCAAGTTGTTTATTCAGTAGCATTGGTTAAGCCTATTATTTTTTACTATAATCACAAACTACAAATTGCAGGCTTAAAGATCGGAATCAGGTATATAACTTCACTTGTACATTTTTGGGTTTTCACTTATCAAATTCAGTAACTAATGAGAGTGAACATTTGACATTGTTCTTTCTACATTTTAGTGGGTTTGCTTTGTGAGTTCTGTCCGTCTGTAAGTAGAAGAGGGAAGTATGAATCACACCATATCATAAAGATTTTGTTTCTGAGCTTTGTGCTAAGTTGCTTTCGCACAATTCGTATGATTTAGACCCTTAGTTTTGTTCTAGTTAATTTTCTGTTTCTCAGAAAAGCACCTAAAACTGTAACCTTGAATTGAGGGACCTTTTCAGAGGTGCTGAGAGTAACTGGCATTTTGTTTTGCTTAATTCCTGGGTTTCGTGTGCATATGTACTGTCAGAGTGACATTGACCACCATACGGACGTCTTAAGTGTTAGGAACAGCAGATGATGCTCAGAGAGGTCTGCAGCTGCCTCTGAAAAAGCGAAACATAGTTCTTCAGGTTTTGGAAATCCCTTCTTTCCAGGGGGACAAGTCATATGTATTCTTGATAAACAGTAAAGAACAGAAATACAGTGTGTACTCATTGTATTATAGGTTACATAGGCTGAATTTTTTGTGGTTCATTTTTTCTGTACAAAAATTATACCGCATTCAAAACAACCAATTCAGAAATGCATTTACACCTTTTATTAATCTAGTTGACAAATTGAATACTGACTATTGAAATACTAC